CAATAAAGGGCTTGGAGGCTGACTGGCCATCGGGAAAAAGAAAGGGATGGATGAAACGTCCCTCACAGCCTGGGCTGGCTAGGAAAGGGAGAAGCCCAAGTCTTCTGACATTTGGGGGCTACAGTCACTGCTCTAGGAGGAGCCTCCTTCTTCCCCCACCCTTGGAGATAGGTGGCTTCCGGGGCAGCCAGGCCTGGCCAAAAAAGGAAACTAAGAAAGGAGGAACCAGAGCTGTCAACTAGAGCAGAGGAAGCGCGGTCAGCCCCTTGTGACACAGCTAGACTGCCCAGCAGTGGCACTGGGGGTGGAGGATAGGACGTCAGCTGGGGCCTGAGCTGTCAACTCAGGGGCCACCCACTCCCACCACTGCCGCTTGCAGGCCACTGGGTCCCACCACATAGGCTGAGCCCCGGCTTCCCACCTGCACATTAGGGGTGCTGGCCCAGCCTTCTTCCGAGAAGTGTGTCCTGCTTTCCCTGCTTCTCCCAAGTGCCCAGCCTGGGTAGTGATCCACCCCGGGTAAGGAGGTGAAGGTTCCTAGAAGTGAAAGCTGGGCAGAGGAAGGCCATCTGCACCTCCCACACCAGCAGGGCCTGGCTGACGCTGGGCAAGCTCCTCAGCCCGTGAAGCATCTCTGCTGAGGACTGGGCATCCTCACCCAGAGAACACACCAGTGGTCAGGAGTCAGCAGGAAGGCTCTGGGGTCCCTGAACCCTGCCCCAGCTTCCCATCAGGGAGCCAGGACACAGGGAGGTCTTCCCTGCCCGCCATGGTCCTTCCTTCCTACTGCTGGGCTGGCTGTGGAAGGCCAGGTGCCTAGCTCAGACACCCCCCTCCTACAAGAAACCCTCCTGGAGCCCCCAGCCCAGGCTGACTCAGTGTTGCCCACACAGCTCCTTGCCTCTCCTTCGTCCTAGTTGCAAATTCTGAGGTCTGAAATTCTGTCACACCAGGGTACTGCCTCCTGTCCCTCCCCTCTCAAGCTGGCTCCTATTCCATGCACCATCCTGAGCTGTCACCTCTTCCAGGAAGCCTCCTCTGATTGTGCAGGCTAGATTAGGTACCTCTTTGACCCCCACAGCTGCCCTCTGTGACAGGCTCTGACATGTTGCATTGTAACTGCAGGTTGACTTGCTTGTCTGTCTCCTCATCTACACAGAAATGCCTATGCACTCATCTAGTTTCTCATCCCTGGTTCCCTAGGCCCAGGACCAGCACAAGGCTGGCCCCAGCAAACGATAAATGCCAAAAATACTGAATTACTATGCCCACCCCCGGAGTCACAAACCAAATGAGCCATTTCCTCCAGCTGATCAGCCATCAACTTATGAGAGAAAATGCTAGGAAAGAACAGAAAACTAAAGGAGTTCCCCTGACTTCCCAGGTTTTGGTTTCTCCTTACTGCCTGGGTTTGAAGAAACCACTATAGCCTCCACCTGCCCTGGAAAGACAAGGGATTAGTGTTCTGATAATGATGTGCTCAGTCACTTCAGTCATATCCAACTCTTTGTAACCCTATGGACTGTAGCCTGCCAGGCTCTCTGCCATGGGATTTTCCAGCCAAGTATACTGGGTGGGTTGCCACGCCCTCCTGCAGGAGATCTTCCATGACCCAGGGACTGAACCTACAGTCCAAGAGAGTCAGACACGATTTAGCGACAAATAACACCACCTGCTTTGGAAATTTGAGGAAACTGAGGCTCAGAAAAAGTCAAGGGTGGGGGGGGCGGGAAGTCAAGTCAAGCACTTGCCCAGAGGCACACAGAAACTCATCATCGCTGGGTGCAGAACCAGGCTTCCAACTTCCCATCTCTTTCTCCCCAATCATGGTCATCTTGGGCTGGTGCCAGATCTCTCACATCCCAGCCTGCTCTTAGAATTTTCATTATTCAGGAAAGGGGGACCACAGAGCTAGCAGGAAACTCCCGGTGACATCACCAAGCATCTCTCCCAGCTTAGAAACTCCCCTTCCTCCTGGGACTTGTCCCCCCTACCCCCTCCCCTGTTCTGCAGGGGGAGTTCACCTTGAAGGTGATGAATACATCTGAGTCCCCAAAGGGGCAAGGATTTCCACTGGAAATGGTGATGCTTGGGGAGCCCCAGCTGTGACCTCATCCCCTTAAAGGAGGTGACAACAACCCCCCACCCTGGGGAGTGGCCTCATAATGGCTCCCCCAGCAGCTGCCGAGTCAACAATAACATCCTGTTTTTTAACTGGACAAGGGAGATGGCAGAACCAGATGGATAAGTGGAGACTGCGCTCTGCTTCTTGCTGTGGACAAGCTGGCTCACCTCCGACCTTGGAGATCAGGGTCTTCGGGTCTTCTCCATCTCCTTCAACCAGGGATGGAATGGGAGAGGGGTACACAAGCATGCCCACGTCCTGCCTTCACCTGCAAATCATTCCCCTCCAGCCCCTGCTGCACAAAGTCACACCCTTGACTGGCCCCTGTGTCAGTGACAGCTCTAGGGGGAAAAACTCCAGAGTCCTGACAAGCTCTGAGGATCAGAGACAGGTACAGAGCTCAAGGGCACCTGGCAGGTCAGTACTAACACATCCCTTCTTCTGTCCAGAGCTGCTCTGGGCCAACCTTTATCAGGCTGGAGAGGCATCAACCCCCCTGACAAGAGCAGGCCAGGACTTTCCCAGAACTCCCTTATCTAATCATCCCCTAGGACTTGGGGGTTCAAGTAGCAGGAAATAAATGACAAAGAAAGATCCCTCTAAATCCATTCCAGTCCTCACACCTGTCCTGGCTTATAATTAAAACCCCAGTTTAGGCCTCACGGAAAAGCAGCTCCAGAACCACCTTTATCCTTGGTCTAGTTGTTCCTGGAGGCTGCCGTCCCCATCCCTTCACCCCACTGGTATACAGGACGTAGGCCTCCAGCAAGGCTGGGAGGGTCTTCCTCTCACCCTACTCCTGGGTTCGCCTTGCCCAAGCCCATTCCTGTCCGACTGCCATGTGTCACTCCACGGGAAATAGGAGGCAGCTGTCAGCTAGGCATACCAGTACCAGCTGGTGGTCCTGGGGGACAGGTGGATGGCAGGGTTTGTCTGGCCTGTGGGGTGCCTGGCACCAGTGAAGAAGACCACAGATTGCCCTTGGCCAAGAAAGGTGAGGGGCTGGCAGACCCAAGTGGGGGTCAATAGTGCATTACCCAGCAGAGGGCATAGCCACTGTGGCTACAATAGTGAACTGCGTGCAGCAGAGACAGCACTTTGGAAAGTGGGTAAGAGGACAGAAATCAGTTTTAAATAGCCTCAGGGTGGGAACTAAGTGCCCGAGATGGGAAGGCAGCATTAAGTGCTAAAAGGTGGGTGTGCATTAAGTATGTGTGTGAAAGGGTATCTTGGGAAGACTGGGGGATGGGGAAAAGCAGAGCCAAAGGCAAGGGGTTTGGCACAAGGGGAGCCTTCAGAACACTCAGGCAGAGGGAGATTTCCGAACACTCAGATGTGACCATCACCCCCTTCAAAATGCACAAATGCCGTGCTGTCCAAGACAGCTAAGCGGACCAAGGAAAGACAAGGATGCTGAGAAGGAAGAGAGAGCCCAGGTTGGAGCTGGTATGACTGAGGGGCGTGTCGGTGTCTACCTTGAGTGGATGGATGGTCAGGGGTCCAGATGCCCGCTCCACTTGCAGCAGGAATATCTTTGTCTGGGTAGCAGAGCTGGCCCCAGGAGTACCCTCTTCATGGCCAAGAAACGGCCTAAATCTTTCTCCACTTTCTAACTCAGAACAAGCTCTGGTCCCTGCCAGATCAGAGCCTCCTCTCTGCACTGTGAGCTCACACAATGCACAGTGACCTTGGGCGAGTCACATTCCCTCCACTGCAGCAGCAGTTCAGGCCACTTGCTTTTGGAGTGGGTTTTTCTTTTTTCTCTCTCTCTCTCTGCTAAGAATACCTGCCCCAGATAATGCTCAGGCTCTGGCAATCCCTGCAAACCGCCTCAGGCATCAAAGAGCTCCCGGAGGGGCCAAATCTACCAGCCCCCAACCCCCACTGTCGGTCCACCACCACCGCAGGGGGGCCGCGCCGACGCCGAACACGGGGACACAGCTCAGTGGCAGGGGGGTGGGGAAGCATTTTTGTGCATTGCAGAGGAGGGGAACTCAGCCCCTCGAGGCAGAAAACCCCTCAAACCACCCAGCTGGTTTTCCAACCCACGTACAGTGGTCTAAACTGAGGCGCCCCTGGGGGAGACTCCGGTCCCCCAAGTTCACATAACCACGAGGGCCTAAAAGCTGCACTCCTTCCCCAAATCCTCTGCCTGGGGGTCCCAATGGCCGCGCCCCACCCATCGGGCACTGCCCCCACGCTGGCGCCGAGCCCTGTGACAACTGCCACGTGCGGACAAGGGGGGAGCGGCTGGTCCCGGCATTGCAGAGGCAGCGCCCGGGTGCCCGAAGCCTCCGCACCGCACCTTGTCCGGGCTCTCCACTGGGTGCCCACCCCTTTACCCGGCCCGCGCTTGGGGCCGGGGCGGGGGGCGGGGGCAGGCAGCGGGGTCTTTGTTCCCGCAGCCCGAGCGCAGCGGCGGCGGCAGAGGATCCGCGCCCCCTTGCCGGCCCCACTGGCTCCCCGCACGCAGCTAGAGCCCGCAGCTCTGGAAGACAGAGTCGGGTGGAGGTCCCGGCGGGGGAAAGGATCCCCCGCACAGAGGCCCGGGCGCTGGAGGGCAGGGAGTGCCCAGGGCCGAGAAGAGGGCCCTCTCCGTCCCCCTGCGCCCGACCGCTGCAGCTCCCGGCTGCGGGCGGACTTGGAGCGACTTAGCCGGGCTCCGGCCCCCGCCGCTCGCTCGCCGCAGCGTTACAGCCTGCTCCTGTGTGGCCGCGCGCACATTCACACACTCACCCGGACCCACACGCTCCCGGCGGGGACAGCCCGGGACCCACAGAGCCGCGCGCACGCACTCGTTTTGGTGCCGCACACTCCGCACCCGCCCCGCGCGGCACTGGCTCCCGCGCCCCGCAGCTCGCGCGGCGCCACCTACCTTTCCAGACAGCGGAGATGCGGGGTCCGCTCTTCGGGTGGCCTTGAGAGGCGGCGGCCGTCCAGACCAGCTGCAGCTGCAGCAGCAGCCGCAGCAGGAACCTGGACCGAGCCAGAGGGCTGGAAACGCGGGCTCGCGGGGCGCCGAGGGCGGTGCATCTGGACGGAGGCGGTGTCATCCCCGGAGCGGAGCGACGGCGGAGAGCAGCCAGACTGAGCCAGCGCCCGAGCGTGAGCTGAAGCCAGTGCGAGGAGGCGGAGTCAAACGCCTGACCCCACCCCGCCCCTCCCCCGCCCCTCGTCTCTAGGCTAGCCAAGCGGGATATAAGTGCCCCCCTCTCCCCCTCGCCCCAGGGAAACCTATACCACCTCTTTCTGGGCAACTCCACCGGCAGGCAGAACCCGGGTGGGCAGCGAGCAAGACAGACTTACGGTCTTCCGTGATGAGCTCCAGGTTCTGTCCCCTCTCCGGGCCTTAGAGTCACTCCCCCCACAGCATAAACGGATTGGCCTAGCCTAGAAGTCAGGAAGGACCTCTCCTGAGGGCTCCGACAACCTCGCTAATGGTCAGCTAAGTGTTTGGACCCTGAAGGATGTGGTTCTCAGAGGCGGGCTGGCCTGAGTGGACACAGCTCCTCTGAGCCTATAAGCAGAAGCAAGAAGATTTTCCCTAAGCAAGAGGGCGGGGTTTGTGCAGAGGGTCAATAATCTGTGGGGAGCACTCAGAACCCCATCCTTGCTCTACTGTGAGAACACGGAATTTTCGTCTTGGCCTGGCTCCCTCCCCTCCCCTCTCCTCCCTTCCCTAGCCAGCAGGCTTCTGGGCTGCCTCCCCCCCCAGCCAGCTGGTGTATGCTCAGAAAATCCAAACTCATTTCCATGTGAGTGGAGGGGGATATAATTAAGAAGGCCCCTTCCCCAAGTAGAAAGAGAAGGAAGCATCTTGCATGCCCAGGACTCACTGCTGGGGAAACAAAGTCAGACCAGCTTTAAGGGATCTCTGCCCACAGAATGCACAGGGTTCAGCCCAGCAGGCAACCTGATGACCCAGTGGTGATAACCCCTGCAGGTCTGACCACATCCCTCTGCAGTCATCTGAACTGCCCAGGCAGCTCTGCCATCAGCTCATCTTTTCCAAGCCTCACGTCTGCCCTTTGTAAAGGAGTCACCTCTCCCTCAAAGCCAGTCAGGACCCAGACCCTCCACCTCTGCTTCAGCCCAACCTAACCATGCTAAGTCACTTCAGTTGTGTCCAACTCTTTGCGACCCTGTGGACTATAGCCCACCAGGCTCCTCTGTCCATGGAGATTCTCCAGGCCAGAATGCTGGAGTGGGTTGCTGTCCTCCAGGGGATCTTCCTGACTTAAGGATCAAACTTGAGTCTCTTATGTCTCCTGCATTGGCAGGTGGGTTCTTTTACCATTAGCGCCACCTGGGAAGCCCCACCTACTGCTTACTGAACGTCTGTCCTCAGGTGGACTGCCCGGAGAGAAGACAGGTTGAGGAAGAAGTAGCAGAGGTGCACTGGGGCCCCCAAGACCCACACACCTAGTTGGACTTGATTCACATACTACAGACCACCAAAGACAGGGAACAGGCTGCCCTGGCCCCAGCCCCAGCTCCAACCCTCTGCCCAGCTCCACAGCCCCAAGGAAAGGTTATCACTAGGAAGTTCTGCCTTACCATTCCATATTTTGTTTCCAGTTATCCTCTCCTTCTTCCCTAAGTGCCCCTAAGACACCCCAGCAGGCCAAAAGATGAAATCAAGATGCCTCCAGGGATAGTGCAGAACTAGGTTCCTGGCCCACTGCGTAAGGCCAACAGATTCATGATGCCCAGAGGTACACAGTCCCAAAGAGACAGAGGCTGTGGACAGTTGAACAGCCCACCCGCCCCGGTCCTATACTCAAGCCTGTGGCCCTGAAGCCAGCAGCATGTCCTGGCCCAGGCTGACCTCCAACACTGACACTCTGTTCCCAGCCCAGGGCCCCATCAGCTGAGATGCATGGCCCCAGTGTCTGCCCTCTCTGCAAAGATAAGCAAATTAAGAAATCGCCTGCCCTGACTGTAAGAACTGAGAATTCAGAACTGATAACACTGCCCACATGCACAGCAACTCACAACACAACCCACTTCCACCTACACTCTCCCAGCCAGTCCTACATTCTCTGCTCTCTCCTTTAGTGAGGGAGAGAGCACAACCCTATATTAGAGAAGGAAACTGAGGCAGAGGAAGGGAGAGGGATCTGCCCAAACTCAGCTGATGGAACCAAGCTAGGGACCAAGGTCATCTGACTCCAATAGCAATCGCCCATGCTGAGGTTACTATGTGCCGCGCATGTTTCATAGTCTCATTTGAATTCATTTCATCTTCACAGTCTTCAGAGGTAGGTATTATTATTTGGCTCCTTTTGCAAACATGGAAACCAGGGTAGAGAGAAGGGAAGAGGTGTGCCCAAGGTCACACAGCTCATTAGAGGAGGGCTGGGATGGCAGCCCAGGCAGTCTCTCTGGGACCCACACCCCTACCTTCTCTATCATAACGCTCTCAGTACAGTTCACCCTTCTGCGGCTTCCTCTGGTGCATGGCTGGACCTAAACAATCCTCAGAACAACCCAGACAGGGCCCAGGTTACCAGGTGCTCAAGAGGAGGGCCAGTCAGGGGCTGGGCTCAGCCTTCCAAGCAATAGGGCAGCAGATGGAAACTGGGGTGGGTGCCAGGGAATTTTTTTCCAGGCTGGGGTGGGGGTGATGGGGTAGTGCCGAAGACTGTCCCACCTCCTGTCAAAGGGGGAGCCCTCTGGCTAGGCTCCTCCATGCTCATCTCAGCACCTGCTTCACCACCAATGGACATCCTGGGCCAACCAACCTAGGGGCAAAGGGCCAGCACCAGATGGCAGCCCACAACTGGTTGGATACAGGCAGCCAGGGGAGGTGAGAACTGAGCCTGTAAAAGTGATTTGGGGCAGTAGCCCTAGCAGGGGAGTGCAGCTAGACTCTGGGCATGAAGGGGAAGAGGTACCCAGGGTGGGGAAAGCAGAGGGCCAGGGTCTGGCATGGTAGTGAAGGGAAGTCAAATCAGAATGGTACAGGTGACAGGAGCCTGCCTTCCTCACTGGGGCCCAAGGCTGGCTTTTGGGCCTGGACCAAGGATGGTCACAGCCGGTGATGGGAAATGGACCAGCAGAGGAAGCAACAGATGTGGATGCTGATGTGTCTGAGGCAGAGGCATATCCCTCCTGCCTTCCCTCTCCCTACAGCTCCTCCTTGGGGGAGTCAGGGGAGGAGGCTAGGATAAAGAAATGAGGCAGGGGCTTCTGTCGAGGAGAAAACTACCTTGAAGTAGTTCTCCCTGTGGATGAAGCGCCAAATCGAAGAAGACCCCTTGCAGAATCAGAGAAACGGACACACACAGATGTGAGGTTCAGAGCTCCAAAGCCGCAAGAGGCCCTGGAAGCCTTCTGACCAAGACCTTTCAGGGCCTTACTCAGAGCATTCCTCACACCCCAAGCTTCCTCTGACCCCTCCCCAACCCTGAGTCCATGACTACATCTGGTCTTCAAAGAAATGACCCACCCCTAACAAGAGGTCGGTGGGAGGTATGAGGATGGCGGGATAAGGAGCCCAAGCCCACAACAGCCCCTTCAAGAGGCTCAGAGCTTGGTGTCCAGCCAGGACCTACAGCTACTAGTAATAGCAACTCTTCCTGTCCCCCCATCACCACCAGCACCCATTGCAGGGGATGAGAGACCAGGGTGATCTGTCAACAGGGCAGCTGCTACTCAGCTTGAGCCCTGAGGCCACAGGAAAGTACACTCCGTGAAACGGGCAGCTAGTTTTCAAGAGAAGCTAAAAATGAGTTTTTGTTGAAACTCCCGGTTTTAAAATAATTCACAAGTCAGATATTTATAGTCATGTAACTGTCTGGGAATTCCAACTTACTGTGTGCTCATGGTATATAGGCCCATGACTGTATCACAGCTGTAGGCATGGTCACAACAGCCTCAGCCACCACTGAACGTGGCCCAACTGTTGGTAGCCCATGTCAGGGCTCAGGGCTGGACAAGGTGAGGCAGAGGAAGCCCTCCTCAGCTCATGCAGACTCTGATACCACACCTCATGCTTCCCTCAGTGGTCTGCCCACACCTACCCTTCTGATAGGATGTTTCCCTCAAATGCCTACCCCTCTCCTCCTACCCAAGGCTGCCTCTTCCTTCTAGGCCAGCTCAGAATCACCCTAAATGGAGAAGTTCTCAGAATTTCCACCACCTTTCTTAGCCCTAAGCCTCAACCCTTCCCAGCAGCTTTCCATTCTTGCATCTCTGTTCCCTGTCCTAGTCATTCTTGACGCATTTTTATATGACTGGTCCTACCTTATACTGCTCAGATCAGAGTCTGGCCAGTCAAGTTGAGAGAAAAAATTAGAAATCTACAGGGGGACATTCAGCGACAAACAAGAGTGGGGAGAAGACAGACAACTTTTCTCCTTCTATCACGGCACTCGTGCTAAGTCATGTCCGACTCTTTGTGACCCTATGGACTGTAACCTGCTAGGCTCCTCTGTCCATGGGATTTCCCAGGCAAGAACACTAGAGTGGCTTGACATTTCCTTCTCCAGGGGATCTTCCCAACCCAGGGATCAAACCCATGTCTCCTGAATTGCAGGAAGGTTCTTTACCACTGAGCCACCAGGGAAGCCCCGTCAGGGCACTCAGGTCACTTCAAAACATGATAGGTGCCCCCCATGGCTTCCAGGGGCAGCCCAGCATTCCTAGCCCCCAAACTCTGCCCATATGGCATTGGGCTTGTGGTTAGAGTGCCACCTGGTGGCCATTTCAGAACAGAACGGACTCTTCGCAGAGACTAAATGTTGATCCTTGAACAACATGGGTTGGAACTGCACGGGTCCATTCACACGTGGATATTTTTTAATAGAAAATACTACAGTGTTACACAGTCCAATCCCCGGTTGGTTAAATCGTCACATGCAGAAGAGCAGAGTCAGAGGGCAGACCTTAAGTCATACATGGATTTTCGACTGCAGTGGGTCAACACCACTAACCCCGCTTGTTTAAGGGGCAACTCTACATGCTCCCAAGCCTTCCTGGAGACAAACTCCTCCCTCTGCTCCACCCTACTTCTCCCCTTCCCTCCCCTCAGATCCATCTCTGAGCGTTC